TTTTTTTTTCTTTTTTTTTTAATCACAATTAAAACAAACATGGGGCTGGGGAGATAGCTTAGTGGAATAAGTACTTGCCTGGCAAGTGCAAGGTCCTGTGTTCTATCACTGGTACCAGCAAAAAAAAAAAAAAAAAAAAGACTTTCTAAACAATTAAAACAAACAAAAGATTGCCATCCCTTCCCTGCTTTCCATGAGCATATATTTTTATTATGCAGAGAATTGAGGTTTTTTTTTTTAATTTTGAGATGCAAATATATATACTATAGTTACTTTTTTATTTATTTACTAGATTGCTTTCCAGAGTAGCCATTGTCATGAGGTATACTTGGAAATGGGGTCTTAAAGGACAAGGTAAAGGGAGGGCAGCCTGAGTCTCAAAAACTCACCAAAGAAAGGCAAGTTCTACAGCAATGAGACAGCTTCAAGAATCTCCTTGTGGGTACCACAAAACTGTTTAGTGCCCTCAGCCTTCTCGGCATGTCTCTGAATATATCCAGTGTATTTCCACTCAATTTCTGGAAAAGTCCACAGTTGGAAAATGGAGAAAAGGCAAAAAGGAGAAACTAGACATACAAAACCACCTTTGACATAGGTCCTGCTTTACCTTGGTCTTAACCATCCAGCAGAAAAGTATAAAAAAGAAATATAAGAAATAAAGCCATGCTGTTATGTTGAGCTGTAGGGGACTCAGGTCAACAATTTCTGACATTGTCAGTCAAGTGGAAGACCCAATACTATTATGGGCTACTGGACTCTTTTAGAATATTTTGCTGGGTTTACGCACCTATAATATTCAAATAACGGAACTTAACAAAAAAAAATGGGATACAGATGAAAGTCCATTTTGTATCTGTGTATTCAAAGTGGTTAGGATAGATATATAGTTACATTCTCTTAATGAATAGAGGGATTTGTTCTAATGGTGTTTGTAAATAGGATATCAAGTCCGCATCTTGTACAGCAATTAACCACTAGAAAGAATGTATGCAATGTGTTAATTATTGAAACTGTCCTACCAATTTGATTTGAAACTGTCTCATTGCTATTTGTTTCTCAATAAAATTGTGAAAAAATAAATAAATAAAAAATAAAGACTTCTCCAAATTAAAAAAAAAATCAACTTTGAAACCAAGGTGGACCACATAAGGGCAGTTCCTAAGGGTTGTGTAATGGTTTTACTGTGGGCTCTGATCCCTCTCACTTCCCCTGGCCTTCCTGCAACAGGTGGGTAGGGCTAGCATAGGGTTATAGTTACAGGAACCGTGCAATGACCAA